AGGGTGGGATCCCAGGTGAGTGGGGTGGGATCTGGGGTGAGTGAGATGGGATCCCGGGTGAATGGGATGGGACCCACAGTGTCCTGAAGGTGGGGAGGGGGTTTCCCAGTGGGTTTTTGTGGGGTGGGCTCCCGCGTTTTCCAGGTTTGTGGCAGGCATGGGGAGAGAGAGAAATACAAAGGAAGAAAAGCTGTTGTGTGTGTTGCTGTCGTCGGGTCTTTTAGGACTGGGATTGTCCCGTGGGGATGTGTCCCTGGGATGTGGCAGTTGGGTGGGGTGGCCACAGGGCTGCTCCTCCTCCCTTCCCTCTCCCTGGTGTTCCTGATTCCCACGCTGCAGCTGCTGGGTGGGAGGGTCTGTGCCCAGATCCACAGGGACTTTCCCCTAAAACCCTGCTCTAAAATACAATGAAGACGTTGGAGGGAGTTTTGTGCTCCCCCTGGCAGAGAAGTGGCTGCCACCAGGCACTTCACCTTAACTCTGGATCCATCAGCCTCATCCCTTCCCTCTCCCTGGTGTTCCTGATTCCCACGCTGCAGCTGCTGGGTGGGAGGGTCTGTGCCCAGATCCACAGGGACTTTCCCCTAAAACCCTGCTCTAAAATACAATGAAGACGTTGGAGGGAGTTTTGTGCTCCCCCTGGCAGAGAAGTGGCTGCCACCAGGCACTTCACCTTAACTCTGGATCCATCAGGATGTGAAGATACATCCAGGTGGATCGTAATTCCCAGAGCAGGGTCTGACAGTGACTCTTCCCTGTGTGTTCCCAGTGCCACACAGGGCTGGGAGGGGAATCCTGTTCCCTCTTGTGGGTACTAGTGGTGGGTGTTCCCATGTCAGGAAGGCACAGGGAAGAGCTGCAGAGCTGCTTTGGTGGCACTGGCAGCCTGGAGGGTGCAGTGACAGGGCTGGGAATGCCTCTGCACATCCCAGTCCTTGGAATTAGGATCCTATTCTGTCTGCTGAGCAAAAAATAAATGCCTGTTCTTGAAACTACCAAACAAAACCCACTTCCCTGGAGGACAGGCAAGAGGGAAACCAAATGAATTTTTAACTTAATGCTGTGAATCTTATTTTCCCATCGTTGAAATAAGTGGGTTTATGGATGGACACTCTCACAACAGGATTTACCAGGAGGGCTCTGAGGCCAGTGCTGCTGTGGTGGCCGTGGAAACCCACACCATCCACAAGCTGGAAGAAGGGATTGGTGAGTTCCTACCTGGCATGGGCAGAATTCCCTCCTCTGCAGGGCTGGTGGCTCCAGCTTCCTTCTGGCTCTGCCCCTGCATTTGCCTCTTCAGATGTGAAGAGGATGAATTATCAGTCAGGATCTGATATCACTGCTAAAGAGGTAGCAGAGCTGCAGGGAACCCGAGAGATGTTTGTGCTTCACGTTTTAAAGCAGTTTCCTTCCACAAAGATTGTTCTCATGGACACCCCCCCCTTACAATGTTGAATTTCTGATCTCACCTGCTGAGGGATGAGCTCCATCTGCAGTGCTGCTCTGCTCACAAGCAGATTAAAAAGCAGATGCCAGTTGCTGTTAGAGCTGGGAACTGGAGACAGCTTAAAGAATTGTAGGATGATGGGATGGTTTGGGTTGGAGGGACCTTCAAGATCATCAGGATCCAACCCCCTGCATGGGCAGGGACACCTCCCACCAGCCCAGGTTCCTCCAAGCCCCATCCAACCTGCCCTTCAGCACTGCCAGGGATGGGGCAGCCACAGCTTCCCTGGGCAACCTGGGCCAGGCTCTCACCACCCTCACACCCAACAATTTCCTCCTCATCTCCAACCTCAATCTCCCCTCTCCCACTTTTAATCCATCCCCCCTTGTCCTCTCCCTCCCTGCCCTTGTCCAAAGTCCCTCCCCAGCTTTCCTGGAGCCCCTTCAGATCAGTCCTTTCGGTTTCCTGAGTGCAGGTCTCACCACCTACCAGCTTTCAGCTCCCACCTGGTGGGATTTGAGCCTCTTGGGTGGAAAGTTTCATTTTTGTCCTGTTCCTCTCTCAGATCCCAGCACCATCGAAACGAATGAGGACATTGAGATCGCCTACCCCATCACCTGTGGGGAGAGCAAAGCCATCCTGCTCTGGAAGAAGTTTGTCTGTCCAGGGATTAATGTCAAGTGTGTGAAGGTAAGGGAGTGTTCCCTGTGGATTCCTCCTCTGCTCTCAGGTTCAGGTCCTTGACCTTGTCCATGTCTGTGCAGCCTGTTGGGTGGTTGCTGCTCAAATTGTTTCTAGAAGCAGGGGAGCTGTGGGTGAGGGAGAGAGGGCCTGTCACTGGCACCCACCTCGTGTTCAGGGCTGCTCTGGGTTACTGCTTAAAGCACAGCTGCACTGGGCACTTGAGGAGGGGTTTGGAGCTGAAGGCAAGTGGGGAATGGACTGAGATCAGAGGCACAGACTGGTGGGGTTGGAAAGCACCTTTGGAGATCATCCAGTCCAACCCCTGCTAGAGCAGGATCCCCTAGAGCAGATCCCACAGGAACACATCCAGGTGGGTTTGGAATGTCTCCAGGGATGGAGACTCCACAGCCTCCCTGGGCAGCCTGTCCCAGGGCTCCGGGACCCTCACAGCCAGGAAGTTTCTTCTCGTGTTATCTTGACCCTCCTGTGCTCCAGTTTGTCCCATTGTCCCTTGTCCTGTCACTGGACACCCCTGAGAAGAGTCTGTTCCATCCTCCTGCCACCCCCCGTAGATATTGACCAGCACTGATGAGATCCCTCCTCAGCCTCCTCCTCTCCAGCTGAACAGCCCCAGCTCTCCCAGCCTTGCCAGAGCTTTTCTCCTGTGTCTCTTGCCCCTGGTGTCCTCACCCCCTACTCCTGTCACTCCTTGATGAGGAGGTTGCACCAAGAAGAGAAGCTGGTACCTTTTCCCACCTGAGGATGTGCTGAGTCCCTTGCTCTGCTGCAGCCAGAGTGCCCTGTCCCTGACCCTCAGTTTGAAGCCTCAGTCACTGCAGCAGGACAGAGCAGCTGCCCCAGGGAATCCCTTTGTCACCTTGATGCCACCTACTCGGCTGCTTGATGTGACAGGAGTCTCCAAGATGACTGGTCATGTTGACAGAAGGAGCTAATTTGATTCATGTTCTGTCCAAAAGCCTTTAGGGCTGCTCTTGGCTAGAGCTGTGTGGCTGGACTGCTGGTGGCTGGCAGCTCATCCCTGCAAACGTTCCTATCCTGGAGTTGGAGGCACTGGGGACAAAAGTGGCAGGGATCTGAGAAGCAGCTCCTCCTCCTGGGTGGGAGTTGGGGCTGAGATGAGCTGTGGGCTGGATGTCCTAGTGCATCCAGTCTTGGGAAGCCGTGGTTCCCTGAGCTTTTCCTTATCTCCTTCTCAGTTCAACGACCAACTGATCAGCCCAAAGCATTTTGTTCACCTGGCTGGGAAGTCCACCCTGAAGGACTGGAAGAGAGCCATTCGCCTCGGTGGGATCATGCTCAGGTACCTGCCTGCCCTCACCCCTGGGTGCAGCCTCAGGGCTTCTTCACTGCAGCTGCAGGATCCCCAGCAGGTGCTTTCCCTGCTTTTCAGTCCCCAGGAGATACCTGGGAAGCTCACATGACCTGGCCAGCAGCTTCCAGAGGTCCTGGTGCCCTGGTCTGAGGGGCAGGATTCCTCAACCTGGGCAGACGGGGCCTCACCCAGGGGACCTGGTATATGGTGAGGGTAGAACAGGGCTAGAGCATGTTAATCATGGAATTGTTTTGGTTGGAAAAACCCTTTAAAATATATTAGTTCAAGTGTTAACCCAGCCCTGCCCAGGCTGCCCCATGTCCCTCAGCACCACATCTACATGGCTTTGAAACTCCTCCAGGGATGGGGACTCCACATCCAGGCCCTGACAGCCCTTTCCATGAAGAAATTGTTCCCAAGATCCAATCTAAACCTCCCCTGGCACAGCTTGAGGCTAGTTCCTCTTATCCTATCCCTTGTTCCTTGGGAGAAAAGACCAACCCCTCTCACTCCAACCTCCTCTCAGGCAGTTGCAAAGCCAGAAGGTCCCTGAAGCTGGAGGTTGCCTTGGACCGGCCGTGGCGCTGCTGGGTCCATCTAGCATTCCTAGGTGTTATACTCCCTTTTGTCTCCAGGCTGAGATTTTTGAGCTGATCCTGCTTCTCTTTTCCTCCACTCCCTGCACAGGAAGATGATGGACTCGGGCCAAATTGACTTCTACCAGCATGACAAGGTGTGCACCAACACCTGCCGAAGCACCAAGTTCGACCTGCTGATCAGCAGCGCCAGGGCGCCGGTGCCGGGGCAGCAGAGCATGGTGCAGACCCCAACCTCAGCTGATGGTAGGAACCCAGTTAGGGATGCTGCAGAGCTTCAGAGCAGAAGGTGGTCTCTGCTGAGGTTCAGGGAGAAGGCTCCTCCCAACCCTGCCACATCACAAATTGTCAGGGTTGGAAGGGACCGCTAGAGATCATCTAGTCCACATCCCACATGTAGCACATCCCACAGGGCTGCAGCCAGGGGGGGTTTAGGGTATCTCCAGAGAAGGGGACTCCACAACCCCCTTGGGCAGCCATCATTAGGCTGGGCAGGTTGTTTCTCTAAGGCTCTTGGGGGGGTGAGGTAGCAGAGTTGTCCACAGGATAAGGAGAATCTCCTGGAAAGCGCCGTGGCCACGTGGTAACACCTCAGAGTGGCTGCACGTTGGCTTGATCCCAAATTTGATCAGAAACTGAGAATGGAGTCGAATCCATGTCCCTTCTATAATCCAGTTTGGACCCTGACCCTGTTTCCTGAGAGACTGGGGCATGTCCAGGGTGCAGAGCTCCTGTTGGTGGTGCAAGGGTGGCTGGGCTGAGCCTTAGTCATTCCCTTCTTTATTCTCATCCCTTTTTGCTCCTTTTATGCCAGGACTCCAGTTTCCTTGCTGGAGGACACTTGCTCCAGAACCTCCAGAGCCTCTCACAGCCCTATTTCCAAGGAGAAGCACCAATAGTTGATTTAACAAATTTTCTTGCAAGGAGCCAGGCACAACCACCCTGAGCCTGGGAGGGGTGAGAGGGGGGGTTGGAAAGCAAAGCAGGGATGGAGGGCTGGTGCTCCGGGTGCTGCAGAGGGAGCTGAGGTGTCCTCTCTGGCAGGGAGCATCACCCAGATTGCACTGTCAGAGGAGAGCATGGAGGAGGGGATTGAGTGGAACTCAGCCCTGACAGCTGCTGTCACCATGGCCACTGAGGAGGGCGTGAAGAAGGACACAGAGGAGATCTCGGGTGAGCTCCAAGCTGCCTGTTGGGTGTTCCCTGCCCCTCTCCTCCCCTGTTACATTCTGGAGACTGAAATCCTGACAATCAGGAGAGTTTAGCAAGGGCAGAGCTGCCCCTTGGCTATCCCAGCACTTCCCACCTGCAGCAGGAACAGGGGACTCCAGCCCTGGCCCTGTGGCTGGTGGATTATCCCCCAGATCATAGACTTATGGGGTGGTTTGGTTTGGAAGGACCTCAAAGATCACCCAGTTCCACCCCCTGCATGGGCAGGGACACCTCCCACCAGCCCAGGCTGCTCCAAGCCCCATCCAACCTGCCCTTCAACACTGCCAGGGATGGGGCAGCCACAGCTTCCCTGGGCAACCTGGGCCAGGCTCTCACCACCCTCACACTCAACAATTTCCTCCTCATGTCCAACCTCCATCTCCCCTCTCCCAGTTTCAATCCATCCCCCTTGTCCTCTCCCTCCCTGCCCTTGTCCCAAGTCCCTCCCCAGCTTTCCTGGAGCCCCTTCAGGCACTGAAAGATGCTCTAAGGTCTCCCTGGAGCCTTCTCACTTGCTGCTAGTTACAAAGAGGAGCTTATGTTGTGGTTGTTCATTGTGAAGATGTAAATGCCAGCCTGGAGCTGGATGGAAACCACCAGGGAGCAGTGTCTTGTTAGCAGCCTGGCAGCTCTCCTGCCTGTGTCTCTTCCCTCCTAGGGTCAGTACAGAAGCTCCCTGAGCCTGGGAGGGGTGAGAGGGGGGGTTGGAAAGCAAAGCAGGGATGGAGGGCTGGTGCTCCGGGTGCTGCAGAGGGAGCTGAGGTGTCCTCTCTGGCAGGGAGCATCACCCAGATTGCACTGTCAGAGGAGAGCATGGAGGAGGGGATTGAGTGGAACTCAGCCCTGACAGCTGCTGTCACCATGGCCACTGAGGAGGGCGTGAAGAAGGACACAGAGGAGATCTCGGGTGAGCTCCAAGCTGCCTGTTGGGTGTTCCCTGCCCCTCTCCTCCCCTGTTACATTCTGGAGACTGAAATCCTGACAATCAGGAGAGTTTAGCAAGGGCAGAGCTGCCCCTTGGCTATCCCAGCACTTCCCACCTGCAGCAGGAACAGGGGACTCCAGCCCTGGCCCTGTGGCTGGTGGATTATCCCCCAGATCATAGACTTATGGGGTGGTTTGGTTTGGAAGGACCTCAAAGATCACCCAGTCCCACCCCCTGCATGGGCAGGGACACCTCCCACCAGCCCAGGCTGCTCCAAGCCCCATCCAACCTGCCCTTCAACACTGCCAGGGATGGGGCAGCCACAGCTTCCCTGGGCAACCTGGGCCAGGCTCTCACCACCCTCACACTCAACAATTTCCTCCTCATGTCCAACCTCCATCTCCCCTCTCCCAGTTTCAATCCATCCCCCTTGTCCTCTCCCTCCCTGCCCTTGTCCCAAGTCCCTCCCCAGCTTTCCTGGAGCCCCTTCAGGCACTGAAAGATGCTCTAAGGTCTCCCTGGAGCCTTCTCACTTGCTGCTAGTTACAAAGAGGAGCTTATGTTGTGGTTGTTCATTGTGAAGATGTAAATGCCAGCCTGGAGCTGGATGGAAACCACCAGGGAGCAGTGTCTTGTTAGCAGCCTGGCAGCTCTCCTGCCTGTGTCTCTTCCCTCCTAGGATCAGTACAGAAGCTGAGGCAGAATCTTCTCAAAGATTTGAAGCTCTGCATCTTGCAGAGACTTGGAAGTGTTGCCTTGAGAGTCACAATGCTGCTTGAAAACATGATTTGCTGTCTGGATCCATTTGGCTTTTGTGGTTTTTTTATGTTGTTTTTGCCTGTCACCTCCACCCCAGTGGCCAAATTAGAAGTTGTTTTTGCAAAGTTCCTCTTGCCTGAAAGGTTCAAGGTGGCCTTGTGGGGAAAAATGGCAAGTGCTTGTGTGTGTTGACTTCTTCCCTCTCCTTGTGCCAGAGGACACCCTGATGTTCTGGAAAGGAATAGCTGATGTGGGGCTGATGGAAGAGGTTGTGTGCAACATCCAGAAGGAGATAGAAGAAGTCCTAAGAGGTGTCCAGCAGAGGTTGGGCCAGTCTCCCTTCCAGATGACAGGTAGGTTATGAGCTCCAGGCACTGGCTGTGGGGAAAGAGAACTCTTTAAGAGCAGCTGCAGGCAAAAGAAAAAGTGACAAAGCTCCATCCCCAGAGTTTCAAGGGGGTGAGTCAGGGTGTTGAGGAGTTGGGTTGGTAGCTGAGCTGTGGAGCAAAGTCTGGGTGTGGTCTCAGCCTGCCCAGCTGTGTAGCACCTTCAGTTCCATCAATGCAGGGCACAAGGACACAACGTGTCACCTCCTTCCCTGGACAAAATGACCCTGGGAGGTTGTTGAGGGCACTGGGAGGTTGTCCTCAGCTCCCAGCCCTTGGGATGCACTCACAGAATCATGGAATGGTTTGGGTTGGAAGGGACCCAAAAGATCATCTAGATCCAACTCCCTGCATGGGCAGGGACTGGCAGAGGGGAGATGGAGGCTGGACATGAGGAGGAAATTGTTGGGTGTGAGGGTGGTGAGAGCCTGGCCCAGGTTGCCCAGGGAAGCTGTGGCTGCCCCATCCCTGGCAGTGTTGAAGGGCAGGTTGGATGGGGCTTGGAGCAACCTGGGCTGGTGGGAGGTGTCCCTGCCCATGCAGGGGGTTGGATCTGGATGATTTTTAAGGTCCCTTCCAACCCAAACCATTCAATGAGTCTATGAAGGATTGTCCTGGTTTGAGCCAGGATGATATTTTGACTTTGAAGCACCATCCTGGGTGGAGAACCAGTCAGTGGAGACTGGTGCTTCTTCCTGGAAGAACCATCTCCTGCCTGGTTCAATTGCTGATCCTGAGTCAAACCATGAGAAGGATGCAGGAGCTTGGTCTGCCCTTGGGGGGGGGAGAGCAGAGGCAGTTTCAGAAAAAGCAGCAGAAAAATTGGGGTGTAATCCAAGCATTTTTTGAGTACCTGTGTCTCACGTGGGACCAGGCATCCATCCTCACACCCTTCCCTTGCAGATGCTGCAGTCCTGAACAACGTTGCCCACACCTTTGGCCTGATGGACACAGTCAAGAAGGTTCTGGACAACAGGAAAAACCAGACAGAGCAAGGAGAGGAGCAGTTCCTCTACACACTGGCAGGTACAGGCAGTGCCCAGCAGGGTTGCTCATCCTGTTGCTGCTCTTGGGAGATGCTTTTCCTTCAACATATGAACCATGTTTGGCTTCTTGTTCAATACACAAACATGTCCCGATCCCTTTCCCACCTGGGGTTTGTGTGGAATTCCCCTCACATGGAGCAGTTGCTTGGGCCCCACCTAAGGAGCTTCTCCTTGCACAGGCTGCTGAGTTGTCTCCTGGTCCTGGTGTGGAGCTATCAGGTGTCTGGCTGCTTCTGAGCTGCAGCCAATAACCTGATCCCCCAGGGCTGGATGAGGCTCCATCCTCAGTGTGTCCTGTAGGACCTGCTCGTATTTGGGGTGTCCCAGTCCCCCACTGCCCTGGATAAATGATGTTACTGGGCTGCTTCCAACGTTCATAAAAATCTGAGGGAGATGTTTGGTTGACCCAGGCAGACCTGCTCCCTGTTACAGGGCAGGTGTTTGGCTCCTGGGAGGGGACCCAGCTGAGCTCAGGAAGCAGCTCCGGCTGCCTGGAGGGGCTTTGTCCACCCTCCCTCCTGGGTGGGTCTTGCTTGGTGGGGAGAAATGCCCAACTTCTTGCTGGGGGAAAGAGAGTGGAAATAGCAAATCCTAGAATTGTTTTGGTTGAAAAAGACCTTTAAGGTCATCAAGCCCAATCACTAACCCACCACTGCCAAGGCCACCATTGCTCCATGTCCCTCAGAACCACACCTACACAACCCCTCCAGGGATGGGGACTCCCCCCCGGGCAGCCTGGGCCAGGGCTTGACAACCCTTTCCATGGAGAAATTGTTCCCAAGATCCAATCTAAACCTTCCCTGGCACAACCTGAGGCCGTTTCCTCTTGTCCCATCCCTTGTTCCTGGGGAGCAGAGCCCGACCCCCCTGGCTCCAACCTCCC